TGTTTAGATTACAGCTCAGGAAATCTGATTAAAAAGGTGAGAAAATCTAGATTTGCATTTGGTGGGGCTTTGAATAATTAAACTATAAGACATTACATTTCCCCTCTATAAAGACTCGATCTTCTGCTCATTTTGATAAACCTTGATATTTTTAGACTTGGACAAACTTAATCGTCATCATGTATACACAGAGTGTATACGAAATAAAATTTTGATGCATACAGCTTTTCAACCGTGAATGAGCAGCTTAGCAGTGAAATGAACAGTACCATGTATAAAGTGCAACAGTGTTTAGAATATAAGGCCCCTGTCACACCTTGAGGATTTAGCCAGTGATGCCCGACATCCAAGAATCTCCTAAAACGCTGCCATACGCTGAACTTTCTATGTATTTTTTCAATTTTGGGCATATACATAGAATACATACATATTTACTTATGCATAACACACTCCATTGTAATGCCCATGAAATAATGCACATTGCATGGGCATTACAAAGCATCAGTTAAAGCCGCTCCCCTCAGCCATCGCTGCTCCGAACAGAGGCTCCCGGTCTACATAAAAAGATGTCTTTTATCGCGGTATTAACCTAGCTGCTGCTTACTGCCTGCCGAAAAAAAAGAAAACAGAAAAAGAAATTTAGAAGGTTTTTGGTGGCAGCAGATTCAGCGTCATGTCTGTTGGGAAGTTTGTTGGTGGTTGGCGTGAACGCAGGGAGGATCCATCACCTTCTGGCTCACCCTATGATGGGGATGAAGTCTGGAGGAGAACCGATGGTTTCCTCCTGTGAACCCCCTTTATACCAAAACGCTGCCAATACGCCATTATACAGTAGCTGGAAGTTAGAAACTGTTCAGCGCTCGTCTGGAACATGTCTGATATGTTGATACGCGTTGGAGAGAAGTTCTTTATAAGTTATGCAGAAGTTATGCAGAAGTTACTCATAGGTTTTGGATAAGCTAGACGCCAAGACTTATCTTAACTGACATCAGATAAGTTACCTGGAACTTATGCTCCATGTATGGCATACACTGGCATTCGTCATATGGCCTATGTTGACGTGTTCCAGCGTGCTTCAGCGTGCTCATAACCTATACAAAACGTACCCATACCTTATCCAACGTATAGCAGCGTTTTTGCCAGATATTCCATACGTCAGGCATACGCTGGTCTAAATCATCAAGGTGCGACAGGGGCTTAAACAATGTAGAGAGAAAGGGAAAACCTGTTTACAGTCCTTGTGCAAAAACCATTGATATGGAAGGTCCAATGCAGTGCAAATAAATATGGTGCAAAATGCAGTAGAACATTGAGTTGTCTTCTGTTTAAAGGGGCT